TTAATTTTTGTTATAGTGTGACATTCATTTATAGCATGCAGAATATTGACACTTCAGATACCAAAAATGCCACATTTCTGGGCGACTTTTTTTCTCAACATGTTATTTGCATTTGGCTTTGATCCTATTTGGATTTGGTCAGGGTTACCTTACTGAACAGGAAGCAGGAAAGTGTGCACAAAAGTCAGGTGCAATACGTTTGGTGTCAATTTCTGGGAAGCTGAGTCATGCTTGTCTGGACAGACAATGCCGTCCATTGTTCATTGTGGTAAAAGGAATACACTAACCCAGAACTGCTGTCTAGTACTTATGTACTGATGTCTTGATTAAAATAATTTCAAATAAACAATTTGATCAGCCACACTTACTGTTGGTGATTGAACTTTGGTCGTTTTTATGTGTTTTGATGAAATTAACTTCTGGAATTCTGGTGACTTCATGTTTGGAAATAAATATAAACTTTCTCACACAGGGACTTGAACATGTCAGAGTTTGTTTGTGACCCCAAAGCTGACCCATACGTCTATGACCTCATTGCTGTTTCCAACCACTATGGAGGAATGGGCGGAGGCCACTGTAAGTCACTCAATTTACACAACTCTCCTATTATTTTATGATAATGAAATCACCCCCTTTCTATTCATATGTTCAGTTATGTATTAACAATCATATTAATGCATAACTGGGTCGACTCACAGATTGTGTCAGCAGCCTTTGATTTTCCTTTTATCACCTTCACTTGTTCACCTTTGCAGCCTAGTTGGATATCTCATGTTTGATGGATTACTACAGAAAGGATATCACGGAGTTGATCATTTATGTATTTGTCATTATATTGCTGCCTGGAAATGATAGCTTGGTTTGTTTTTGATTGCCAAAGTTCAGCCATTAAGCACTATGTTTCATTTCCTCTTGCAGACACGGGATACGGCAAGAACAAGGTGGATGGCAAATGGTATTACTTTGACGACAGCAGTGTGTCGTCTGCAACTGAGGATCAGATTGTGGTGAGGCTACTACGCTTTCTGTTTTATTATCTTTTGCAGACTCCTAAAGCATTCCACAGTGGTTAATGAGTCTCAAAGTCCAATATGGAAACTGGGAATTGGCAGTTGCTAGTTTGTAAACTGACTCAGAATTGTCTTTTTTGTTGTTCTCCACAGACTAAAGCAGCCTATGTGCTATTTTACCAACGCAGAGATGCGGACACGCCGTCCAAATCCACCCCCTCCGCATCACTAGGCGGAGCTCCAGAGACCCCGGATGACCACATGGACACCAACTGAGTTTCTTTTAGTCTTTCAAGGACTGGCACTGAAACAAAAACTACATAAAGATGAAATCATCAATGCATCGACGCACACACATCCCTGGCTACTTCAGTGACTATTAAAGGCTCACAAACAGGCCCTTTGTTTTTAGCTTTATTTTAATTTTTTTCCCTTTTTCTTTATCAAGAGCCAAAAAAGAATATTATTAATAAATAAAGAGAATTTTAGTTTGAAGCGTGACATGAAAGACTTTATTCTTGGACCTTGATGCCTGCTGATCATAGAAGCTCATTTCTTTTAGTCTGAAATGAGAACAAGGGTGAAACGGCAATATAACCTCTCTTTGGACGACATGAATGTTAGATGATCTAGATAAGGAGAGGGGAAATGCCTAGACATAGACTATGTATGCAACATTACGCTCATCTGACATGTTTAAATTATGCCTCTACCCACTTACGTTGGACTCTAGCTATCAGCATCTTGTAACATGTGCCTCTCTGTGTTTAATAACTTAAGCGTGTGGTGATAAGCACAGAGATTCTCTCGGAGAAGCTTGCGCTCTTATATTAAATATTGTCTCCATGTTTCATTTGTCCTATCACAAGCCATGCTTTTTGTTAAATATACCATGCCGGAGGGTGAAATATTTCACTTTCAAAGTCGCTCCGCTATAAGGATGCCACAAAATGTCAAGTTTATTATCATGTTGGTTTTTTGGGGGGGCTGCTCTCTAATATATTCACACTAACAGCCTTTTACGCCCAAAAACTGTGAAAAGGGAAGCTTACGAAAATGTGGAACAACGTAAGTCACGGTCGTACCCGAGCATTTTTTTTTTTTCCCCAGATATGATGGTTGTGCTTTGTAATGGTCAATTTTCATTTCTTTTTGGTGGATTTTTCTCCTGTCTAAATGGCTTTGGTCCAAAGGAATATCGAATGTGGTGCTAATTTTATGACACTTGAACAGGTACAGGTACACGACAAAGAGGAACACAAACAATGGCTGTTGTTCTAATTAAGAACAACCTTATTGATTAAAAGAATAGCTTTTATCATTACCTGTAGATGTACATTGGCACATCTGCCATGTGATTAGTTGTGGCATTATGTGTCAAATGGCTTTAGCAACAACTCAAAGCTCAAATGACACGTGCTTCTTACTGCGAAGAACATAATACACAAAGCATATTCTTTTTTGTATGGCAAAATAGCATGCTATTTTTGAATCCGCAAAACTAGATGGTTGTTCCTGGTGTTTACCTCTCTATGGTATTCGCAGTCACTGACTGGTAAATCCACTCTTGTTGTTATTTATGGATCCAGATGTAAAATTTAAGACAAACTGATCAATGACTCAAGCTGTCCCCCTGCAGCTCCTTCATTAGTAAAACATCCATTTAAACATTTTTTTGTTTTTGTAATTTCATAGACCTTTCTTGCATAGATGTACATAATCATAATCTGGGGCACAGTACATGGCTGCTTTGTGTTCTTCTATTTATCATGCCAACATGTGCAACACCAGATTTTGATTAAAGCCTTTTTGAATTGAAAATATAATAAAATGCGGAAGCCTGGTTATAGGTAGTGACTTTGTTTTGTTTTTTTCCTTATATAGCATTAAGTAAATCAATTTGCATCAGATGATTTATGAATCTGTCATAATCTTCAGAATCAGTTAAATGATTCCACGTAGCTACCCATTATTTGTTATTGCTATTTTATATTATTTCCAGTTGCACTAGCAATACCAAGGCAATGTGTTTGATTCCAACAGAATGCAAAAACTGATAGAAATGTAAAAGCCTTGAATGCAATGCAAGTCGTAAACATTTTTTTGTTTTTGTAATTTCATAGACCTTTCTTGCATAGATGTACATAATCATAATCTGGGGCACAGTACATGGCTGCTTTGTGTTCTTCTATTTATCATGCCAACATGTGCAACACCAGATTTTGATTAAAGCCTATTTGAATTGAAAATATAATAAAATGCGGAAGCCTGGTTATAGGTAGTGACTTTGTTTTGTTTTTTTCCTTATATAGCATTAAGTAAATCAGATGATTTATGAATCTGTCATAATCTTCAGGATCAGTTAAATGATTCCACGTAGCTACCCATTATTTGTTATTGCTATTTTATATTATTTCCAGTTGCATTAGCAATACCAAGGCAATGTGTTTGATTCCAACAGAATGCAAAAACTGATAGAAATGTAAAAGCCTTGAATGCAATGCAAGTCACTTTGCATAAAAGCATCTGCCAAATACATAAATGTAAATGTAAAATTATTGGCTGGAAAGACTTGCATAACTAGTTCAACTGGTTTGAGAGTACATGGTGAAATCTGCATTGGTTTTGGCTGTTGTAAACGGAAATGGATGTATGAATGTTTGCAACATTTTTTTAATGTGTGCATTTAGATATTTTTGTTGTGTATTGAATGATGTCAAGCAATCTGATCGCCAACCCTTTCATTTATTTGATAAACCGTAAACAATAATATTGTGAAATATTACAATTAAAAAAACTCTTTATATTTCTATATATTTATTCCTATAGTATAATATTTGTGTGTTTAATATGTAATTTATTCTTGTTATTTCCGTGCTGTTTTTTTAGCAGCCAGTAATCTGGGCCCGTATTCACAAAATATCTTTTGGCTAAAGGTAACTCGTAACTCGCTGATTTAGGAGAAAATATTAAAAATAATGGGCGTTTCAGTCCTAAATTTAGGACTCCTAATTTTTTGCTCAAAGTATTTCACAAAGTGTTTCAGCACTAAAACTAGCTCCTAAATCTGTGAAACATTAGGAGTAGTGAAGAGGACTCCCAAGTCACTAAGACCAAGCCACAAACTATCCTAAAATGGCGGTTGCCGGCAATCTGCCTCAGAACATAAACTTTTTAGAAATATTTGACGATAATGAGCTTTTATAAAGGTATCACCTTTGGTTTTGGAGGTTATCCCAGCTCCAGATTTTCCTTTGATTGTATTGTTGTTTTCATTAACTAGCTGGGCAAAAGTAACAGCTGTGCTTGTGTCCAGTTTGGTTTTCTTTTATGCTTGCATGTCTTACTATCAGCCATGATTATTCTACTTTGTTAATTAAAAGGCTGTTTATATGCATATTAGCCAATTATGAGAAGCATACATGTAAGAGGCTGACAAGTAGCTGAACATATACTTAATTAGTGACATTTGCCTGCATTTTAAAATCTTTATTTGAATGTGGCAATTGACATTTTTATTTTTAAACTTTATTTGAATATGGCAACATAATATTGCACTCTACAATATTTCTATGAATAAATCTCTGACAGAGACCCCTCCCCCTATCAGCCAATCACTGTGTGCAAAGTTAGTAAACATGCTGACATCATCCATAGCAACAAGGTCAACCCCGCCCTTGCTCTTAGCTTAAGACTTCTCTCTATTCTTTAGAAAAGTTTGTCTCAGCAGCTTTGTGAATCTACTTGTAATACACGCTCATTTAATATTAGGGAGTGTTATCAAAGTGTTCTGTTCACTGCTTAATGGTTGAGAAAGTTTATCTTCTTATCTGTGAATCTGATGACAGGTTTTGTGATGGCTTTCGCATTTTACACTTATAAAGACAGATACAGTTAATAGACAAAACCTACAGTAACGTCCCAGAACAATTTGCATATCAAAACACAATTGAGAATTTTACGACGGTCCCTAGATTTTACTTGCGCGGGAAGCTTTGTGTGACAGACTGATCTTTTAGCCTGCTGAAGGTAGCATACATTTTATGCACACGTCTAATTTAACCAGCATTTATTAGTATCACATCAAAATTACAAACGTTTAAGATCAGCATCGCGGGGAGTAACATTAAGGTAAACACTTCTGACCCCATTTGGCCTCAAATACGGTAATTTCGTCGAGTTAGTCGAATATGTCGTTTAGCTCTTGCCAGCGTGAACTGATTGTTTACCATCTTCAGAGATTGGATTCTGGGATTGTTTGAACCAGGATTGTCATTATTGAACTGTCAGTTGTGTACACAGTTTTCTGGACTAGCTGCTTGTTGTAACCCCAACAGGTCACATCCGTTATTTATCCTTTCCATCTGATCTGAGTTAAAGATGATGCGTAAAAAGAAGCGCTCAGTCGATGACGATTCCACGCTTGACGTTCCCAGTAAGTCCCTGATGACGTCACGTCTAAAATACATCTGGGATGGCTACAATCTTTGTACATTAAGTGAAATTATGAAATGGACTTTATTAATGTCTCTCCATTCGCACAGAATCAAAAAAGACCAAGAGCAGTGGACGACCAACAAAGTCTTCATTACAGGACTCCTACCCGGACTCAGTTTTTGTTCAGTTTCTGAAGGAGTCTGGTGTCACTTTGACAGCTGGCAGTACAGCTAATGAAATTGGTAAGATAATGCATGAGAAAGTATTTATTGTATACAATAAAGGTGAAATCACAATTAGGCCTGTCACGATAACAACTTTTTGTTGTGCGATATATTGCCCCAGAAATAATTGCGATAGGCGATATTATTGTCATTTTAAAGACCATTTTATGCCACTGAATATATAATCATAATGTAACAGCATAATAATGCAAGAAGGCCTTCACACTTCCAAATGACAACAAACTTTGAATTTTTAAGAATATTTAGATCATGGAAATTAAGTATCAAAATATTAGATACCTTAAAAACTTGAATAAATAGTACATGAACATTTTCTAAAAAAAAGTGCAAAGTAGAAAAAAAGAAAAATGCATTAAGAACTTGTATGGAGATTTTTCCATCTTTTTTTTCCAGACCTTCTTTTCTCTGTAAATTAAGGGTGCACACTATTGCTGAAAAACACAATCACTACTTAGCAGTCAGAAGTCCGTATGCACAAAGGCACAGATCCCTAAACAAGGCCATATCTGCAGATGAAACTTTGTTTGTAGAAGCATTTTTAAAATGTGAACTAGCACCTCATGACTACACCACGTTATGTACGAGAAGCTGCAAAAGACACAGACGCAAGTGGAATGTAAAAAAACACGGTGACATTAATTTTTAAGTAAATATAATGGGCGATATATTGCGTCACCAAAAATGATTGAGGTCATGTACATATATTGCGCGATAAGTCGATATATTGATTATTGCGACAGGCCTAATCACAATGCATACATGCATGTTTATATCAACTAACACATTATTTCTACACGTATAACTAACACATTTTTTGAATGAATTATTATTATTATTTTTTACAGCTGCAGACCAAGTAATATTTCAAAAGCGGCTCCAGCAGCATCTACGAAAGCATCCCAGATTCCCCAATGTGAGAAACAGCTCATCATTATCCTACTTTGTTTTTTTTTTTCATTTCAACGAAAAAGCTTACTTTACATATATTTACATTGTAAAATGGCTGTTTATAGATAATAAAGGAGTTTATATCTGCACTGGAAACATACATTGAAGACCCAGAGAGATTCAGAAACTGCCTGCTGCCTTGCGTGCCATCATCCACTTCACAGCAGGATACCAAGTAATGCACCGATTCTTGTTTTTCCATCTGAAACATTAAAAGAATTCATTGAAATGCTTTATGCAATTGTTTTGTTACTCTAATTTTCTAATTGTTACTTATTTTCCCTCTAATATCAGTTCTGGCTCCTATCAGGAAAGTCTTGTACGCCTGTTGCTTGGAATAGAGATGCTACAGGTAAATATCTGCTCAATTTACATCTTAAAATACAAAGAGAAAATTATTTTACTTTTCCTACATTTAGACTGGTCTGAATATATAATTTTTCTTTCGTTATTTTATTATATAATAATTATATATTTTTATATATTATTTTTTATTATATATTTTACTATTTACTATTTTTATTGTATTTATTTTTTTAAATCCTTATCCATTATCCAATGATTAGATGGAAAAAGTCATGAAAATTAATTGGTCCAAAAAAAAAAAAAAGGATACTTTTTGTTTTTTAATGTAGCCTTTTTACATGTTCTGTTGAAATAATTAACTACAGCTATTAATAACATTTATTTTATTCAAAATATTTGGGGGAATATTTTTTGTTGAATATAAGTAATATATATATATATATATATATATTTTTTTTTCCTTTTCCTGCATTTAGACCCAGGTCATAAACACTTTGTTCGAAAAGCTTCCAGAATTCATGTTGGAGGGGTAAATGTCTTTTTGATGACTTTTTATATACACACTTTAATTACAGACACAGTCCTGTAACATTCCCTTATCACTGATGACAATGTGCTCTGTTACAGTGTGAGCGAGGACGGCCTCAATGTTCCCCGTCTCATAATAAACCAGTTGAAGTGGCTGGACCGAATTGTAGATGGCAAGGTACACAGTCCACTGATACTGTCTGTGTGAGAATCCTACATGATGGAAATGTCCCAGTGAACATCAAAATTGCCAAGAGTTCCTTTGTAGCAGACAAATGTTTGTCAAAGCCAAATCATGGCACTGCCGTGACCAATGTCTGACTGATATAACTGCTGTGTATGTGTAGGATTTGAGCAGTAAGCTGATGCAGATGGTGTCTGTGGCTCCGGTGGAGATCCAGCGGGACATTATTACCAGCCTGCCTGAAATCCTGGAGGATTCCCAGCATGGAGATATGGCCAAAGAGCTGTTGGAGCAGTGTGTTTTGCCAGCAGTGTTGCAGGCTTCCCAGAGTCGTATGAAAAGCAAAGCCATGTCAGGGTGAGACTTTTTCCTGCTTTCTCTTGAATAAAATTCTATCTTCATTTACTTACTCTCATCTGTCCCTCCCAAACCCATATGACTGCTTTATTCCCTGGAAGACAAATAATAAGTTGTAAATATGTCTGGTTCTGCTTGTCTTGTTCTTGATTTTAATGTCACTACTCAGGTCCTCCAGGGTCCCATCATGCAACAATGGTCAGGACAGTGTGGCTTTGGTTTTGGAGGTCATTAAGTCAGCTATCCGATTTCAGAAGACCATCTCAGAAGCTTGGCTAAAAGTGAGTTCATATAATCTTGATGGCTTTTTTTGTTTTTCTTTCTGCCTTCAAGCACTAGGTACAATATTTCCATGCAACTGAAGTTATTTAGTTACTGTTTGAATTTTTGAATTTCAGGCAATAGAGAATGTTGATGAGTCAGATGACTATAAGGTTTGATTGACTTCTATCAAAATGTTTTTATGCGATTCCCATTAGATTGACACATTTCATACCTGAACATCCAAAATGCAAGAATTAACGTAACTTGTTGTGTCTCTCAGGTGGTTGACCTGTTGGTGCTGTTCATCCTTCACTCCACTAATGCAAACCACAGCCGGCGTGGGGCGGAGAGAGTGCTCAAAGTCAAAGTTCGCAAGGGTCTGATTCAGGAAAACCTCTTGCAGAAGACCTTTAAGGGTCATGCTCAGGTCTGCTTTCATTCACATGCTTATGACTGAGAAACAGCCCTATTTATGCTACGTGAAGTGTTGGCTTCCCTTGTACATATCAAGGATGGTGTAAATGTTTCATACAGGTTATGCGGGGTTATTTCCCATCAATTCTGGCTCTAGCTCAGGGACTCTTGCGTTCTCCAGACTGCTTTGTGGTGCCTTTCGGAGGTCACATGTACAAACAGGCCTTCACTGCCTTTGACTCCTACTGTCAGCAGGTAAGAAAAGAAATACCTCTTAATACCAGTTCACAACAAACACACTGTAGATTTATGGGCCCTTCATTTAAAGACCTGCACTGATGTCCAGTACATGTGTGTTTGTTATGTAGGAGGTGGTGGGCTCTCTGGTCACACACGCATGCAGTGGTGTGAGTGGTGAAGTGGATGTGGCCCTTGAGCTGCTCTGTGAGCTGGTATCTCAGAAGCCTGCAGAAATGAGCCAGTTCACTGTTTTTGTTAAGGTACACACCTGCCTATATAGGGAAGGAAATTAGTTTTCCGAGTCAGTTCTTTTCATTAAGTCAGATTGACTCGAATCAAAATTGTTTTATTTTGTCTTTTCAAGTACATAATAATATTTAACCAGTTTGCTGGTGTGAATTGGGGGTATTCTGCCAGGGTATTCTGGACTACATGGACAACCTGACCTCACAGCAGATCAGACGACTCTTCCACCTGCTCAGCTGCCTGGCATTTGGACAGGAGCAGCACGGAGGACACATCCAGGTGAGAAACACACTGCACCTTAAAGGTATAGTTGTAATTTTTTCAATTAATGGGATAGCTGATCCAAAAATGAAAATTCTGTCAAATCTCTGTATGTCCTTCACCAGGATGACATGCACATCGTCATCCGTAAGCAGCTGTCTAGCACGGTGCCCAAGTACAAACGTATTGGTATTATTGGTGCAGTCATGATGGTGGGCAGTATGGGGGCCTGCAGGTACTCTCTTTGCTGGTGCATTGCAGTGTTTTTCATTTATACACCTTGTGTATAAGCTTGTGATCTTTGGTCTTTACTGTTTTTGGTCTTGTGTTGTTTATGTAGAAATAAACCCGATGGCTCTCAGGGTGGCACACTGCCCAAAGAGACACACAGACAGGTGAGTGAAATTATCTGACGGTTTGAGTGTAAACGGTACCCTTCAAAAATTTGGGGTCTGTAAGATTTTTGAAAGAAGTCTCTTATGCTCACCAAGGCTGCATTTATTTGATCAAATATACAGTAAAAAGCAGCAATATATTTTAATTTAAAAGGACTGTTTTTAATGTTTTAAATTGTAATTTCTACCGGTGATGCAAAGCTACATTTTCAGTAGCCGTTCCTCCAGTCTTCAGTGTCACATGATTCATCAGAAATAATTTTAATATGCTGATTTGATGCTCAAGATCTTTTATTATTATCAATGTTGAAAACAGTTGTCTTGCTTAATATTTTTTGGAAACTATAATACGCTTTCTGGATTCTTAGATGAATAGAATAGAATAAAACAATGGCATTTATTTGAAATGAAAAGTTTTGGAACATTATAAATATGTTGCCTACTTTCACTCCTTACTTGTCGCTAGGGATGTAACGGTATGAAAATTTCTTATCACGATTATAGTGACAAAATTATCACGGTTATCAGTATTATCACAGTATTGTTAAAATGTGCTGGAGATGTTAAAAAAGTACAGACACATAAATCACTTCACCAAGTTTTCTATTTAAAAATCAACAAACAACAAATAAAATGACTTTTTGTTTGCGTAATCACTAAAACAATAACATTACCAATGATGTTTGGATTTTAAATGACAACTTGACTGACAACAGTTTAATAGCATGTTGAAATATCTAATGTAAATGTTCAAATAAAGCTTTGAAAAAGTTGTCAAAATGATAATTGATTAATACATGAATATATGTATTTTATCTGCTATTGTGGAAATACAGTATATTACAATTTAAAAATAACTGTTCACATCATTCTAATATGCTGGTTTGGTGTAGAAAACCGTTTTTATGGCAACCATAATACTTTTTTCAGGATGTTTGATGAATAGAAAGTTCAAAAGAATGCCATTTGATTTAAAATAGAAATCTTTTGTAGCATTATAAATGTGTTGCCTACTTTCACTCCTTATTTGTCACTGACCCATGTACCACAGAAGGTTTTGAGTGTTGTGGTGTGTGTGTGTGTGTGTGTAGGTGATGGCTCTGTTGGAGCTGGTACGCTCGTGCAGTGAGAGTTCCCCTGAAGCTGCCGCTCTCTATTACGATGAGCTGGCCAACCTGCTGCAGACCTGCAAACTGGACCCTCTAGTTCAGGTGTGTGTGGGTTATTGACTGTAAATAGCCCCTTAAAACAGCCTTCATGTCCTCATCTTAGATTTTTAAGAAATTAGATTTTTAAAATTCTGTCTCCAAATGAGTTTGAAATTACATGACGTGAGTGAATAAATGCTAACAGAATTGTATTTTAATGGGTGAACTGTCTCTTTAATTGAGTTATAGACAAAAAGCAATACATTTCAGATGGATCTCTACATGACTAAAATGACTGTGTATTATATTAGTATATTAAACTCTCTATTATGGCTATATCATTCTTAGGCATGGATCGGGAAGAGTGTGCTAGAGGATTTTCAGGAAGACTTTATTGTAGACCTTGGACCAGATTTATCAGGGTGAGTGACACATTCAGAGCTCATAAAGAGTAGTATAATCTTTACGACCTGCTTTTTTGTTGTCAAATCAATAAATTGTTTCATTTATTTGTTTAAATTCCAGCGTTTTTATGTCTTTGCTTTCCCATGCCCCCTCTTGTGTGTCTCTCTCAGCCCGTTTGTGTTTCCTGCTTCTGTGATGCATAATTTGGACGAGGATGAGAGTCAAGGGGGAATCGCCATCAATCTACTGCCACTTATGACTCAAGACCAGCAGCTCAAAACAGACACAACCCAACCAGCTGGAGTCAAGAAAGAGAGGTCATTACTGAATACTCCATGCTGAAATCATTTTAATGCTTCTGTTACTGTAGGCTGTAAAACAAGATGCTTTTTATGTACCATAAATGATGCTCCTTGATATAGAGCAAGGTTTCCCAAACTGGGATCTGCAGGGGGTTTGTGAGTTGATGAAAAGCTAATAAGAAATTAAATAATAAGAATGTTGCATGTAAATAAGTAACATGTAAAATAGAAACAGTTTGACAATCAATTACTTTGTTTACTTGCATGTCATTTGACTATTAACCAAAATACTACTTGTGAACGTGCAAATGTTTTAAAATATTCTATAAATTACTGATATAATAAGGGTACTACAAGCAAATGTTTTAGGTCAGAGGGGTTCAGCTGACAAAAATATTTGGGAATTCCCGATATAGATAATTGCAATGGACCAATATGGGTTTTAGTAGCCGATACTGATATTTTAATATACAATATATAGCTTCATCATATGTGATGTATGCAAAATTGCTGAAATTATATGAACAATTATGTTATGCAATATTTCCTGAAAATTCACCTATAATATAATAAAATATGCACTTCACAGTTCGGACTTTAATTATTTGGCCAAGCAGGCACTGTTATTTGTTGATGCCAGTAATCAGTACAGTATATCAACCTGTGATCTGCCTTTTTATTTATTTTATCAAGGACATTGTTAAAATAGTATTGTCAGTAGTTGAATCCCTGCAATGTTACAATCAGAATGATTCTCTTATTCTCACAGGCGCGTGTCTCCTTTGTGTCTGTCCTCATTTTTCCGCCTGCTGAGGTTGTGTGAGGAGGTGCAGCACCAGGGTGATCTGGAGGAGATTGATGCTCTGCTAGGTCAGATACTGTACACCTGTAGCTTTTTTTATCATAATTTTGTTCTGGACTGTGTTCACTGTGAAAAAGAAAATTCAATAGATGCCTCTGTTTTAATTAATGGGTAACACTTTACAATAAGGTTCATTAGTTAACATTAGTTAACTACTTTAGATAACGAACTAAGAATGAACAATAGTTCTTCAGCATTTATTAATCTTAGTTCATGTTAATTTCAACATTTACTAATGCATTATTAAAATCAACAGTTGTGCTTGTTAACAGTTAATGCACTCTGAATTAACATGAACTAACAGTGAACAACTGTATTGTCATTAACTAACATTAAGAAAGATTAATAAATACTGTAATAAATGTATTGTTCATTGTTCGTTCATGTTAGTTAAGACATTAACTAACATTAATTAATGGAACCTTATTGTAAAGTGTTACCAATTAATGCATTATGATTGTGTATAAACTGTAAGATTATTTATCACAAGATTAAGATTATCACAAGAGGCATCAGAGGTATTTAAGGTAAAAAAAAAAAAACATGTTTGAAGAGTTTTGTGCTGTTATAGGCTGTCCTTTGATTCTGACTGATATGGAGGTGGTGGAGAAGGTGGAGAGTCTGTCTAAGGCTGAGAGAGAGTTCCTCTGTTCTCTGCTCTTTTACACCATCAACTGGTTCAGAGAGGTTAGTACATCTCTTTAGTACAGCATAGTACTAAATTCAGAATGACTTTACAATCATCACTGATCAATTCAAGTTCTGATATGACTATTTGGCCTTTTTAAAGTATTCACTTTAATTGTAAATTTAATAGTTCATCCAAAAATGAGAATTCTGTGTTCAGTTTATTATTTGGAACTACAGATTGGAATTATGTGTTTTTGATGTTATATAATAATTAATATATTCTAATATGTATAGTATGCATGTCTGTTTTATGAATGTAGACGGTGAATGCTTTTTGCAAGCAGAATGATCCTGAGATGAAAATGAAGGTTGTAACTCGTATTCAGAATATCACTTACCTTCAGAGTTTACTGCAGACATGCTTAGCAGGTACCAGAGAGACAGATTATCTTCTTCCCCAGTGTGTGTGTATACATATATATGTATATGTGTGTATATATATATAAAATTGTTACATTTATTAATTTGTATTTTATTTATTTATTTTAAATTTTGTTAATTAAATTTGAAAATTAATAAAATATCCTATATTTATTTTCTCTGCAAAGTTAACATTATTTTATTGTGTTAGCTACTCCAGGCTACACTCCTCCTCAGGCTAACTTTGATGGAGAGAGTGCTGAAGGGATGATACCCTCTTCTTCAAGTGCTCTCCCAAAGAAAGGAAAGAAGGGTAAGTCTGTTGGAGATATCGGCAAACTGATTTGTGCTATAGATAGGGTCAGTCCTTCACTGTTTGTGTGTGTGTGTGTGTGTGTGTGTGGGGGTGTGTAGAGTCATCTGGGAGGAAGAGGAAGGCTTCAGCAAGTAAGAACACCTCAGGAGACAAATCACAGCTGGAGGGGGCCACAGAGGCAGAGGATTCCCAACAGGTAAAGACCATATTTATTTCATGTCCATTGGTTAACATACATTTGTATAAACAGCTGGTAAAGTGGACTGTAACACCATACTTGTTTGAGATGAAGTATAAATGGACAATATGGTACTCTTTTGTATATTTTACTTCAATACATTAAGATTTTACTATGGTGTCAGCTGGATTTTAATTTAAAGCTCTCACAACAACTGACAATTGTTTGTTGTGGCAGGATCATCCAGAGAAAGAGAACGAGAAGGAGAAAGAAAAGGATGCCAAATCAGGAGTCAGTCTGTCCTCGTACGGGCCGTTCTTCAGAGAACTTGATGTTGAAGCTCTGAGCGTGCTTCAGTGTGGCCTTCTTTCCCGGACACTGTTGGACACTGAGCTACATAGTAAGGTAAAACGAGTCTGTTTGCTTGTCAGTTCTCAGTAAAAGTACATACTTGAATTAAATGAGTGCTGTTTTGTGTGTAGTTAAGGGAGGAAGTGCAGTTGGGCCCTGCAGAGTTGCTTTTCCTGCTGGAGGACATGTGGCGTAAACTGGACTTCAGTTTGGCTTCTGCACCAGCCAAAAAGGCTCCATTTCTTAAAGTATGAAAACACACACATTACTAAACCTGTTTTACCCAGTCAGACATGTTATTTGACAATGCTGAAGCAACATTCTAATCAACTGATCAGATATTATTTTATCTAAATAATAAAAAAAAATAAAACACTAAAAACTAAAATGATTCATTTTAATTAACGCTGTTAAATGTAACCTTTAGCAAATCACAAAATATAAATTTTTATGCTTTATACTAAAATGATGACAAAATTAATGCTTTATATTAATAATAATGCAATAATGCAAAGTTTATTTAATAATGAAAAGTTTGGCATTATTATAATGTAATAGCTCACGATTAATTGTAATCTTTAGCAAATTGTACTGTAAATTCACTTAATTTTGGCATCATTATAATTTAATAGTTTAATAACGGGTAAATGAAATCTGTATTTTGCTTTTATTAAGTGCTTTTTGATGGCTTAATAGTACAATATAAAAAGGAATATTTTTAGGAATACATTTAACAGTGTTATTAAAATAAATGAATGTTTTTAAATATAAACTTTTTAATGAATGTTTCGTGACAGCAAAACTAATCTAAATGTAAAATAAACATGCCAGATAAATTACAAATGAATTACAAAACATCTCCAATATCAGCTGACAACCAATATGGTACTGAAATGTTTTCTGTGGTGTCTCTCTAAGAGTAAGACGGACAAAGCAGTTGGCTTTGCTCACTTGCAGCAGAAAAATGCCAAAGAGTTCGCCACCTGCTGCATCGAGCTGCTGCCCACACTTTGCACACACCTGGAGAACTGCCACAATCACTTTCAGGTGCACATGTGTTTCAATTTATAGCCTTCTAAACATGTTCATTACGTGTGCATTAGTGCTGGCTGGCACGTTTGGATTTATTGCTCTGTTTGAATGTTTGTCCTCACACAGACTCTGCTGTCTGAGCATCAGGGTGTTGTTGATGCTCCTGGTGTGGATGTGAAGGAACAGCAACTCATGTGTTCAGCCTATCAGCTCCTACTGCAAGTGCTACATACTACGTTCAGCTGGTGAGCACGAAATAGTTAGTCGTTAGTTGACTTTCCTGACAACTACAAAACATTCTTACCATCTTCAATCACCTGCTGTTCATTCAGGGCTGGATTTTCTGGTCTAGAGCATCGTGCTCTGCTGAAGAGCGCTCTGGGGGTCCTGGCCGGCCGACTGAAGGAGGACGAGACCGATTTGACCCTGGATCAGCTCAGCAGGTGGGAGCGTCAGTGCACATACTTCTTACTTGCTGTTAGTGGACAATATGCAATGTAACCATCTCTACATGGTGTTTTATATGCTCAGGCACGCTTTTGAGTACCTGCAGAACTTCCAAAGCACAGTACCCAGCCTGAACACTGCCTTGTGTCTGACCCAGCTGCTCATTGTGCTGTCCCAGTATGGAGGATCAAACCACAGGACCTACAGAGAACAGATCAGTGCGTTTCCAGTACTGTATGCTGTGTAATAATGGTTGCTCTGTAATACATTCATTTTGAGTGCTATCATTTCCCCCAGCGTCACTGGCGAGGCGTTTCCTCTGTCAGGAGTGGGTTACAGCGAGTGGAGAGAAAGAGCGAGGAAACAAATACAATGATGCTCTTCAAACTCTACTCAGGTATGTTGTGAGTTACACACAATAATGCTTAAGTTCCCATTCAGTTCCAGGAGTCATTGAGGCGGTGTTGTTATTGTTAACGAAAACTACTAAAAATCATTTTCAGTGATTAAAATAAGCTGAATTAAGAGTAAATCAAAACTTAAAGCTTAATTTAAAATTGTGTAGAAATATAAAATAAAAATATAAAAATGACAAAAGCACAAAAACAAAATTGCTAAAACTTAATGAAAATTAAAACCAAAAAATATCATGGGGACTGTTTTTCAGTTCTGTAATAGTATATAAATAATACTAAAATAACACTGAAGCGAAAAGGCGATAAGGGTATTAAGACCCATGGATACGAGATTCTATTTGATAGAGGAGAGAGCAATAAGTCCATAAACTGATTTATATGCTTCATGAGTCTCGTTGCATTCATTAATCCTCACTTGATGTTCGAAATAGTTTAATTCCTGCATTATACACAAAGGCAGAATTAAATAAATTAAATATTCATACTGATCTTCCAACTCTAATATAATTATTATTATAATAATATATTATTTTACTAATTGAAATATTAAAGGTTTATGACATTTATAACATCACATAAATATTTAATGTTTAGGGAGAAAATCGCCTGGAAAGCCTATTCTCAGTTTTGCTGAAAACTATACAAAATCTGAATCATATCAAAGCAAACCACATTTTATGACTGTTTTGCTCTCTATTTGATCAAAAACAAATCTTACCCACTCTGAACTTTTGAACAGGATGGGCCTATCCAAAATATGCCCTAATTAATATACTCAAAAGAATGCAAGAATAAAATAACTTGAACTAAAATGCCATGCTTTAATATTATTGTTCATATCTGAGGATGTTTAAATCAATTTGTTTTTCCCGCTGTAGTATTTATCTGGAGCACACTGATGATGTTCTGAAGGCGGTGGAGGAAATAGCAGGTGAAGGGGTTCCAGAGCTGTTGAATGCTGCTAAAGATGCTAACTCGCGCAGCTGGCCAACACTCAACAGGTACAGCAGGCTGCCATATCAAATTAATAATTACATGTACATGACGTATTAATACCAAAATATTTGAAAACTTGGCGTTGCATTTGACCAATCAGAATCGGGTATTCCACAGAGCCGTGTAGTAAATGCAGATATCTGTGCTTTGCTTGACACTGCAGGCAGACGTTCCTGGTGTACTACAAGAGCATGATGGCAGAGCTGGAGAGAGCTGTGCGCAAGATTCCTTCCAGCAAACAGACGGATAATCAAGAGGTGTGTGTTTGTTTGTTGTGTGGCTGTAGATATTATTTCATTATTATTTGGGTACCAACAGGAAGTGTAAGGAAAGTGTGTCTCAAGTTTATGCCCTAAATCTATTCAGGTGCAGAGTGAGAAGCTCTTAACATGGAATCTGGCTGTGCGTGACTTCCACATCCTCATAAACCTGGTCAAGGTACAGAGACCTTCACATCTTTCCTGTTCTTCCAGTGTGCACATCACATTTTTGGCTCTGTAAACAGCATGTTCTTCTGTTTTCTATGGCACAGATGTTTGACAGCAGACCTGTACTCACTGTGTGTTTAAAGGTAAGAAGCATTTGCACGCATGAAGGTATGTTTATGAAGGTAATGTCATTCAACACTTGTTTTCTCTTTGTTTTTGATCATCTCGTTCAGTATGGTCGTCTTTTTCTGGAGTCCTTCCTCAAACTTGGAATGCCTCTGCTCGATTATAGCTTTAAAAAACACAAGGTATTTCTGTCTCCTTCATCAAAATGTATGTGTAACGTTGCATCTTGAGCAAAATGGATCTGTTAAGTAACATGAGATTTTAATCATTGCACGGGATCTTCTCAGGAGGATGTTCAAAGTTTGCTGAAGACCATCCAGCTCAGTACTAGACAACTCCACCACATGTGTGGCCACTCAAAGGTGAATTACAGCATCTGTGGAGCAAGAGTGAGATTGAAGATTAAAATGAGAAAACTGCTAAATAAATTTAGCTTATTGATGTTAAAAGCATTTGTGAAACATAATCTCTGTAATTATTATTATTATCACTGTTTTACGGTTCACAGATTAGGCAAGATACAGGGCTGACCAATCACGTTCCAGCCTTGAAGAAAAATCTGGAGCAGTTTGTGTATCGTGTGAAAGCCATGCTCACTCTTAACCATTGCCAGGAAGCCTTCTGGCTGGGGAATCTGAAGAACAGAGACTTAAAGGTGAGATGGAAAAATGTGGCAATGCCACGTCACAAAAAACAAATCCACTATAAGGATGCACTACTTCAGTAGTTTTTACTTGCCCTGGTGACATTTTCAGTTATTTTTGCTGCATATTTTTAAATTGTCAGAAGAATATCCATTTTTATTATATATTAAGTTTGTTTCACAAGTTTTTAGTTTTTATATATATATATATATATGTCCTTAATTTTTTAAGTTATTGTCCAATATTTGACTGTATGACAGAAATTCTGACAATTGCACATTATTTAATTAACATTAAACCTTAATTGGGGGGAAAAAAACTTTAAAAACAACATTTGACAGCGCCGAGAATCACTGAATCAGTTTCGGAATCGAGCTGTTCGAAAGAACCGATTCGCAGAAATGAATCGGACTTTCCTTCATTATTTGGTTGGCTCGTTTCAAGCCAACCCTTGGTGGCTGACTAAATACTTTTTTTCCCCACTGTATATATATATATATAACTATAAATGAAACTTTTTATTAAGGTTTATAATATAATAATATCTGTAAATTATACAGCTATATCATAAGTCCGTAAAGGGCACAGTGTAGCATTTATTGATAATCCAGTGATGTTATTGATGATCCAGTTTTTTTTTTGCTTCGCTTTACAGGGTGAAGAGATTCTCTCACAAAAGTCACAGGCAGTTGATGAAGAGGAAGAAGAGTCTTCTCAGGTGCAGAGTGAAGAGGAGGTATAATGACTGACTGACTGCATTATCCTGCATAATGCACTGACATATATAGTCTGATCAAATGTTAGCATGTTGCTAAATTGATTTTCTTCGTTATTACTAAAAGTTTAGGGTCATGTTGAAAAGTTTGGTTTATGTTTTAAGACAGAAGTCTCTTATGCTCAGCAAGGCTGCATTAATGAAAAATACAGTAAAAACAGTAATGTTGCCAAATATTATTATAATTTGAATTAACATTTTTATTTATATTTTAAAATGTTATTTATTCCTGCAATGGTAAAACTGAATTTTCAGCAGCCATTACTTCAGACTCCAGTGTCACATTATCTTTCAGAAATCATTCTAATATGCTGATTGAGTACTCAGGAAACATTTATTATTATTATCAGTGCTTAAAAAATGTTTATGGACAAAATATTAAGAACAGCATATATTTAAAATCTTAATCTTTTACTGTCAGTTTTGATCAGTTTAATGCACCCTTTCTGATGAATATTTTTTTTTCAGTTTAGTTTAGGGGATTTGGGTAATATTAGCTAAAATAGCATGCATGGATGTCCACTTTGAAAATCTTCCAGAAATATCTGAATACCATCTGAATACCTTACTTCTGGCATTGCAACATACTATGATTTCCCATTATTATGCATGATGCAGTGGCCTCACAGACCACATTGTGTTAATAAATACACATATGACAGATAAGTTCAATTACATTTGATTAATAGTTGTATTACTTTTCATATTTAAACTCATTTCTCATATCACATAAATATATATATATAGAAATATAACTGTTCATATAACATATTCATCACCTGCTCAGCAGCAGTATTTTGTTATCATGCAGTGTCATGTAATTCACAAAAGCAAATATACAGCATGGTTATAATTGCCTTTAATAGCCTGTAATGAATTTTGCTTGGCTTGTTTTGGGAGTTTAATTTCCTCATGAGATCTTTTATGAGAGATTTTGAGATGTCTTTCACTTCGTGTTTAATTCAGTCTGTTTTAAAACAGGAGAGCGACTCTGATGAGAGGAACAATGGACAGGAAGAAGCGGAGGAATCAGATGAGTCGGACTGAAATAAAGCAAATATTGTTATATATTAGGACATGATCAGTACACTATTGTTGATTTATTATTACATCAAATTAGTTTTGGGATTTGTTATCTCCTATTAAATGGAAAAGATTTTGATTAAAGCTGTTGTGCAATGTTCAGTTAACTATAATCAAGTGGTTTTCTTGAACAGCTCTAATTGTATTTGCATGTTTTAATATGCTAATTGTTTATTTGCTTTCATATTCAATACAGATATAAATAATAATAATAAATTTGTCAATTACCTTAATTTTTTAAGTTATTGTCCAATATTTGACTGTATGACAGAAATGCTGACAATTGCACATAATTTAATTAACATTAAACCTTAATTGGGGGGAAAAAAACTTTAAAAACAACATTTGACAGCGCCGAGAATCACTGAATCAGTTTCGGAATCGAGCTGTTCGAAAGAACCGATTCGCAGAAATGAATCGGACTTTCCTTCATTATTTGGTTGGCTCGTTTCAAGCCAACCGTCTGAGTCACAGTCACATGGTGCATCCAGGAAGCAATCCGTACAGTGTTTCTGTGTAGAGGAGGATAAACAAACGCTCAGTTGTGTCAACAACAAAACTGAAAGACGGGTGTAAACTGACCTGCAGTAAAACAAAGATACTGTAAATGTTACATCTGCAGAGCGACACGGGTACTGTTCGGAAAGCGGAAGGATTGATTGTGTGTGCCATCACAGCAACTAACAACTATTCATACACACTGAGCGTTTTTGTTATTGATTTTCTGACAGCCGGGCAAAAAATGTCTGATTTTGTCATTTTACTGCTGATTCTGTTTTTGGTTATTTGTCTCATCTTAACTCTGGTGGGCTTCGTTTTTTACACTGGGCTTTTCTCTGAAGTCGTGATTCGGACTGGATCTCCTCCGGTGAAAAACATCACGATTGCATATAAGTTCAGAAAAGGATCGTACAAGGCCAGCGGAGCCGCTTTCACGGAGAGCTGCAGTGTCGGACCGAAGTTGTCGTCTGTCGGTGTGTTTTACGATAACCCCAATCAGGTCAGGAACTTTACATTCGAAATGTTTAATAGAACGTTCTCAACACAAATAATCATTTCAAGAAGTTACAAGTTAAGTTACAACCCCTAAATCCACCTGTCATAAAACTAACTCATAACTCAACTGCTTTGTCCCAGAATTTAAGAATTGGTGAGAAGTTTGGCTGTTATTTCTATACTATGGTGTAGTGATGATAGATGGTAATACCATTGTGCTCTACCATGCTACTGAATGATTAATGTTGCACCAAGTTTCAAAAATTACCATTAACTTGGTAGTTTTAGTATAATAAGTGAAGGGTTATTGTTACAAGTGTTATTGTTACTTTGCAAAACAGCAGTTTTTGAAGCACAGAATCATGAGAATCAAGCCTCAAACATGTTATTATAGTCATATTTTAAATTTATGATTCATCTGGGTTTTTAAGACTCACTGAGGTGTTTCCATTAAATAACTTCATGGCCACAATGTAAAGCAAAGTCTGCTCTAATCCCTAAATCAATATTATGTTTCATATCTAGTATTATTCATCACTATTTAGTGTATCAAAAGAATAAATTGGGATAACATGCTGTGCAAGCATCCGAAGGTGAACATGGAGCTCATGGAGGAACAACTTGGTATAATATGAACAGTTTTAAGACGCTCTTCATGCATGCACACCTCTAAGAAGAGAATGGATTGAATTTGGCCTGCTCAGCAGAAAGCGAAAGAACTACATGCAAAATATGTCAGATGTCTCAGCACATAATAGATGAATATTTAAACCAGAACAGGTCATGCTAGTAGACTCCCTGGATGGGTGTCATTAACATTTCTGCACTGATCTAGGGCTGTACAGTCACTGCAGCAGTTATGCAGTAATAGTTCATCCATATTATGAGGTTGGACACTGGAACGTTGAGTGCTGTGGTAACTGGTCTATTTTATTTTGTGCAACTTGGTAGTCATTGCCAAATGGAATTGCTGGCTTGCAAAGTAAGGACTGGGAATGTCTCTTTGGTCCCATATATTTAACCATACCAGTGTGGTGCTTATTTGTTTTGTTCTTTTCAGTATAACTTGTGAAATGGACCAGGTGGGGTTATTGCATAATATCTTGCTGGTGATAGCTGCATTAACATTCACCTGATTTATTTCTGTTCTATTTTTAATTTGTTTTGAATTGTGACCTGGGATTTGTCTCCTGAATTGTAAACTGGGACAAAAACAAAAGATTGGATTTGAAAGTACCTTGGTAAAAGTACCTAAATTCCATGGATTGCATCTCCTATAAATCCAAATCTGGATTTATAAAGGCAGAAACTGACACACAAATGTTCTTATGCATACACCAACTGATACCAGTAATTAAAATAATACAGTAATAAAAAAAGCACTTCTACACACATCTTTAGAATTGAGGCCCCTTGAGAGTAGCTGTTACGGTAGTGGATGCATTAGGGTTTGAAGTCACTGTTGTTTGAAAAGCAGGTGGAGTTTGAGTTCAGGTTATACACCAAGTTATCAAGAGTCTCTGGGATAGACTTTTTTGTGTGGTTATTTTTTTGTGTAATGTACAATACATGTGAAGTTGAACATGGCAACAAATAGTTTTTCCTTGTTTTTTTTTTTTTAGCATGTGTGACCAGATCAGGATCCCCGTTAAATACCTACCTCCTTGGAACATAAAATCTATTGTATTGGCTGACATTCATTGGTTGGTTGCATTGGTGGACAGATTCTATTCAGTGCCTGATTAGCAGAGCTGGGTAGTAACTGAATACATGTAATCTGGATTAAGTAATCAGATTCCAAAAATTAAGTACTTGTAATTAGGTTATATAACATTTTTAATTCAACATTGAATCAACTACTGGTTAACGCATTCATTTTTATTTGAATGATCATTTAGTGAGATTTTAAGGTAATAAGTTAAGTAACAGGTTTGCATGTTCATGGATCTCTGATCTTGGTTAATGGTCACATGGCATGCAGGTAAACAAATAAAATATGTAATCTTTTTTTAGTGTTGTTATTTTAAAATTATTTTTTTAGTTTCCATTTAGTTTTTTAGTTTTTGGATAATTAGGCAAATGAGTTCAAATGTAATGTAAAAGTAACAAAAAAGTGGCTTATAGATTCAATTATATTACCTAAAATGTGTAATGTAATGGATTACGTTACTAACTACAATTTTTGTCATGTAATTTGAAATCAGTAACAGACATCAGTACAATTTGTAAGTAATCTACCTAGCATTGCTGATTAGAAGTCCAACAATATTGGGTGTTAATATAGCCATCCAAATTCTGTTTTTCCCAAAAATCAAAATATGTCAGTGAATGTCTGTTATGGCACAAATCAATTTAATCATTCAAATTAAACATTTTTGTGATGCAAGTATATACAGTACATGTATGATTAGCAAGCTATCCATTTAGTTATCCAATTTTAAGGAAGGCATGAAATAAAATGTTTAATGTAAAAAAAATTTATTTGACCTTTTTAATTAAAATATCATACCTCCAGTGAAATGACAGACTTCTCTTGTTCACGTAAACCCCAACCCTTTTTTACAATCTCCTGCAAGCTCACATACAGCTCTGCCTCTTTCCGATCAACAGTCAATGCAAAAAAAAAAAAATTTTTTTTAAATAATCTGTTTCGCTCAGATGTACGTCACAGTACATAAGAAAAGATCTGCTGCTACCCACTTTTGTGTATGAGTTGCCTAACTAGTTTAGACCTTATTGGACAGACAGTTGAGTACATATGTCATGCATCTTAGAATAGAAAAAGGAAAATATGAAACATTTCAGTCACATAACCTACTTCTGTATTCAACACAGGACCAATTGAAACCATATGGTGACGCGACTCAGACAAAATGTGAGTAATGTGGCTAAAAAAACAAAAAAAAAGACGAATAAAAAAGTGAATGCCAGGCTGGCAGTGGAGTTTTACAGACTGTATTCATGGCCATGATATTGGCTGAAGTACACTAAAGACAAACCAGCTTACTTGTGAGAAAAAATTAAAATAATACTTATTATTAAGTACCATGCTATTACCCATCTGGTACTTGACTTCTGCCACAGTACTTTTATTTATTTATTTTTTTACTGGAAAAAGAGACGTGACATGAAATTATACATTAAATTATATGTTTCTTTTCCGGAAAGCTAAATTAAAGGGTTAGTTCGCCCAAAATGAAAATTCTGTCATCATTTACTCACCCTTAAGTTGTTCTGAACCATATAATTTTCTTTCTTCCATGAAGCACAAAAGGAGAAATTTAGTGGAATGTCTGAGTTGTTCTCTTTCCTTCAATCAAAGTAGATGGGGACCAGTGGCTGTCAAGCTACAAAAGGACAAAAAATTGTATCCTGTATCTGTGTTCTGAGAAAGTAAGTAAGTTCTGTGTCTTTTAAAAGATGTGATGGTAATTTTTTTTGGTGAACTATCTGGATGTTTGCGCTGCTGAAACAATAAGCAAATGCAAAGTAAAGGGTGTTTCCTCGGTGCTGCGTAAACTGCCACATTAGCTATACTTGGCTTAAAGCTGATCCCTGTGTTTCAATGAAAATTGTCAAAAACAGGTAATGCATTTTTTTTTTAAAATCAGGCCAGTAGATCCCTAAACACTAGATGGCACTCATGGTCCAGGGTAAAGAACATAACTTGTAGTACTGTAGAGATGGTCCAATTCAAGCCTACAGGTTGAATGCCAGGGATGTTCAGATTCTGTTATACCAGTATACTTGGACACTTACACCACACTTAAAAATGTATGAATGCAATTGTTTTAGAAAATAATAATTATCATAATAATGTACCTTTAAGTGTTGCTTTTATGAGTACAGTGGCTTGACAGAATACTCAGACACTTATACCACACTTAAAAATTTATGAATTTAATTGTTTTAGATAAAAATATTATTATAATTATTATTTGTATTTATTATTATTTATAATAATAATTGTTACTCCACAGCATAGTTGGACACTTACACCAAACTTGAATAGCATCAATGACATTATTACAGAAAAAATATATAGTTGTTGTTATAATCTAAAACAAAAATAATAATAATAGGTTATCAATTT